CACACAACCCCACACCCCACCACACCACACCGCACCACACTACTCCACACACAACACCACACCACACCACACCCCACCACATCACACCACACTACACCACACACAATATCACACCACACCACACACTACACACCACACAACCCACCGCACCCCACCACACCCCACCACAGCAGACCACACGCCACACCACACGCCATGCCATGCCTGGCCAGCCAGGCAACGCCACACGACACAACACCACACGATACCACACACAACACCACACCACACTACACCACACTGACAACTGCCACACAACCACACACCCCACCACACCACACCACTGCACACCAAACGCCATGCCATGCCAGGCCAGCCAGGCAACACCACACGACACAACACCACACGACACTGACCACTGCCACAGCGTCCGAAGCAAGCATCTCCACGGGCGTCATGACGGCAAAGTAGGCCACGTTGGCCAGGATGTAGATGATGGTGACGAGGGGCAGGGAGATCCAGATGGCCCGGGGAAGGTTCCTGGGGAGGGAGAGATACAAGTTTATGTGTGCACAAACAAAGCAATCTGGCATGAGGAAGGTTTCTGGGAAGGGAGAGATACAAGTTTATGAGTGCACAAACTAGCATGAGGAAGGTTTCTGGGGGGAGGTGAGATACAAGTTTACGAGTGCACAAACAAAGGAGTCTGGCAAAAAGGAAGGTTCAGATACAAGTTTATGTGCGCACAAACAAAGGAAACTGCCATGAGGAAGGTTCAGATTCAAGTTTATGAGTGCAGAAACAAAGGAGACTGGCATGAGGAAGGTTGATGTTTTTAGTTTAATAAGAGTTTTAAGGCACTTGCAACACAATAAGGTCATATTAGTGCCGAAGATTAGAGGTGTTACAAGAGAGTAACAAACACAAAAAAGGAGGAGAGATCAGGACAACAGATGTTTGATAGGAAAGAAGGAGCAAACCACACCAGAGCATCCGCCAACCACCCACATACAAGTCTATGTGCAGAAACAAAGGAAACTGGCACGAGGAAGGTTTTTGGGGGAGGGGAGATACAAGTTTATGTGTGCAGAAACAAGGGAAACATAAATTTGAATGCATAAGCAACTACACCTGAACCTGGGTTTTTTGTGTTTTATGGGGGGGTTGTGAGTGTTTTACTGCGCTCGCAACTGCATAAGGTCATATGGGTGGGCGGGACACACTTAATACTTTCAGCTGGTAGGAAATGTTTTGAATTTAGCCCAGGTGGTAGACGAAGCCTACTCTTATTAATTTTAGACCACCAAGGGATTTTTAACGAGTGCTACTTGCACACAGGCCCTCGGAGATTTTTCGCCCTTGTCTGAGAAGGCAGAAGATGAAAGGTGTGGCTGAAAGACAGCAGTAAGAAGAAGTCAAGGAGTAAAATCACATAAATGATAAACAAGGAACATAACTATTGTGCAGTCAAAAACATAACATTCAACTAAGTTATTTCCCCTTATACAAATTCTAATTGCACAAACCTCATGAAACGCCAAAAGAAAGTTATAGCGGTGGAGATAAAGACTGAGGGCTATACACCAGCCCAAGGGTACCAACAAGCATACAAAAGGGCATGTGACTTATGAGGCCTACTTACTTGTATGGATCTTTCAGCTCTTCTGTTACAAAGTTGAGGTAATTCCTGGAAAAATAATAAGAAAAAAAAACGGTAAATAAAAAAACCCAGTATAAAAAGACACACAAAAACAGCAACACACAAACACACGCACAAACACACACACACACACACACACACACACACACACACACACACACACACACACGCACGCGGGC